GTGCCCTTCCGTCAATTCCTTTAAGTTTCAGCTTTGCAACCATACTCCCCCCGGAACCCAAAGACTTTGGTTTCCCGGCGGGTCATGGGAATAATGCCGCCGGATCGCTAGTTGGCATCGTTTATGGTCGGAACTACGACGGTATCTGATAGCTCAGGCGGTAGAGCAGGTCATCTACTGATCGGAAGGTTGGTGGTTCGATTCCTGGCTTCCCCCAGTCTGCATGCCAAATATCATTGGGCAAGATATTAACCCCAAATTGCTCTCCGATGCATCCATCGGAGTATGAATGTGTGTGAATGTTACTTAGAAAGCACCTAGAACAATGTGCTTGTGCGAATGGGTGTGAATGGGTGAATGCACAAGTTGTGTAACGCGCTTTGAGTGCTCAGAAGAGTAGAAAAGCGCTATATAAGAACCAGTCCATTAAAAAAAACAAAAAAAAGCATGCAAAATTGGATTAAAAAAATTATCTGTGAAACAGTGAAGCTGTGAAAGGTGAACCACGTTATAGTGAGGGACCACTGTACTGGAAGAGCATATGGGAGAAGGATGCAACCCATAACAGCAAAGCTCAGCGGCTAGTGGGTCAGAGAGGAGATCACAGCACCCTCTCTGAACAAGGTCCAGTAACCATCACAGTGGCAGACATCCAAGAAAGAGTCTCCAATATGAAGAGTTGGATAGCACCAGGCCCAGACATGGTTCACGCCTACTGGCTGACAAAGCTGACCTTCACTCCAAAAGCGTCTGGCAATACAAATTAACCAACTGCTAGTTGACGAGAGACACCCGGAATGGCTAACTTAGGGCCGGGCGGTCCTGATCCTCAAGAACCTCCAGAAGGGACCAGTCCCATCTAACTACTGGCCAATAACCTGCTTCAGAACCATGTGGAAGCTCTTGTTAGGCATCATAGCGGCTAAGATGAACAGGCACATTGGTCAATACATAAGTGGGGCACAGAAAGGGATGGGCAAGAATACGTGAGGGGCAAAACACCAGCTACTGGTAGACCGAACAATCAGCTGAGACTGCAAGGCCAGACTGGATAACGTGTGCACTGCCTGGATCAACAGGACCCTAAGAGCCTTCATCAGGAACTCAATGGTGATGTGGTGTGCAACACTAGAGGCCTAGTTCAAGTACATAACACAAGTCACCATCAAGAACATCTACCAAGGAGATGCTCTGTCCCCACTACTGTTCTGCATAGGCCTTAACCTCCTCAGTGAAATCATTGACAAGACTGGCTACAGATACTGAATACGGAACGGAGCAGTTGTCAGCCACCTCCTGTAGATGGATGACATCAAGCTGTATGCCAATAGTGAACGAGACATCGATTCACTGATCCACACCACCAGGATATACAGCAATGACATCGCAATGTCGTTCGGACTGGAGAAGTGTAGTCTGATGATAACAAAGAGAGGGAAGGTAGTCAGAACTGAGGGGATCAAACTACCAGAAGGCAACATTGCAGACATAGAGAACAGCTACAATTAACTGGGGTACACACAGGCAAATGGGTACCACGAAGAGGCCAGTAGGAAAGTTGCAACCACCAAGTACCTGCAGAGGGTCAGGCAAGTCCTGAGGAGTCAGCTGAATGGTAAGAACAAGATCAGCAGAACAGCAGTGGGGACAGAGCATCTCCTTGGTAGATCCCGCACTTGATGGTGACTTGTGCTATGGGCTTGGAGTTGGCCTCTAATGTTGTACGCCATATATATATATATATATATATATATATATATATACACACACATATATATATATATATATTAGTGCTGTCAATAGATTAAAAAAAATTAACTAACTAATCTCACAATTTTCTGTTATTAATTGCGATTAATCTCAATTACTTTATTAATAGCCTGGCTCCAATTACATTTTTTTTATTCTTTATATTTTAAGATTGTAACAGACATTTATGCAACACAATGAAGTAAATGCAGAATAAACACAAAGAATGTATGCTGAAATTCAAAGAGAATTTTAATAGTTTTCATCAATCTTTAACACAGTGAAAACTTACAAAAAACCTTTAAGGCCATCAACAGTGACTGAACCCAGGCCTACAGGTTAAAGTGAATATCATAACAATAAAGGGTGCACAAAACTCAGTATTTAAAACACAAAAAGACACAGCTGAAAACCCAGAATGTTGAACATTTTTCACTTCAAAGGAGCAATCTGGATTAGTCCTTCTTTGCACTCAGCCACTTACTGAGGCAGACTATTCTGTTTACATTGTCTGATGACAAAGAAGCACGCTTCTTTTGAATGATGTGACCTGAGAGTGAGAATAATCTCTCACAAGGCACTGTGGTTGTAGGGGTTGACAGGTACTTGCGTGCAATAGGTGCCAGCCTGGCATGTGCTCCTTCTCTCTTTAACCACCACTGTAGTGGACACTCTCCTATGTCAATTTTGGGCTCTGCTTTGTACAGATTCAGACAGCAGTCTATAGCATCTTCCTCTTCCTCTGTATCTGAATCAGGAGAACCCAGCAAGCAGATGGACATCTTGCTCTTCTTTGGTGAGGGTTCCTCTGTTGTCTGAACAGATGGTTGGTGTGCATCCGTCTCTGACATCAGAAGGTCATGTACTGATGCCCACACCTCTCTTCTTTCATCTTTGGAAAGGCATTTAAGGTCTTTAAACCTGGGATCAAGGGCAGTAGCGATCTTCAGCCATGTGAGATTGCTGCTGTCCCTCCGCTGAGCTAGGTCTGTGGTAAAAATCTTCTTAAACCTCAAAACGTAGGTCATCATCTGAGGGCTCCATAATCCTGAACAAATGACACAAGGCTGGCAACACCATGGAACAAGAGACATACCGCTCTCCCCCCCAGCAGTTCGGTAACATATCTGCAATAGAAAGATCAAGTCTGTATTTTTCTATTAATCACACAGAGACAAACATAAAAACTACATATGAAAATACACAGAGAGGTGGAGGTGGAGAACATACTTGAAAACAAAGCTAGAATGCAAAGATAGACACACAATCATGAGAAACAAAATGTATTTACCTGCAAGGTTCCAGTAGTTCCTCCAGCTTTTGCAGTCTGTCAAGCTCCTGGTCAGTCAACATAGTCACCTTGCTGTTTTGTTGAGTCAGGATGGTGGTCAGCCCAAATTTGTTTCTCTGGATCCGCTTGATCATCTCTAGGGTGGAGTTCCATCTTGTTGGAACGTCCTGAACAAGCGGTTCTGTTTGATGTCCATGTGCAGCTTGCTGTGCCTTTAATTCCTGAGCGTTTGCTGGACTATGCTTAAAATGTCCAACAATCTTGCGACATTTGGCCAGAGCCCTTTCAAATGCGCTGTCATTAAGAGAAACTGTGACCGTTCTTTGCAGAATGTGGGCCATGCAGGGCATGTGTTCAAATGGAAGTAGTCTGGCGGCTGCAACCATGTTACGAGCACTGTCGGTGCCAAGCGTGGTTACCTTGTCCTTGATTTTCCATTCGTTTGCAACATTCAGAAAATGGTCAGCACACGCCTCAGCATAGTGTCTCTCTTCAGTTTTACTCACTGTTAGTGCAAATGATTGCATAGTCCAGTCGTTATCAATAAAATGCGCCATGACCCCCAAGTAATTATCGTTGTTCACCGAAGTCCAGTGGTCTCCGGTGAGAGCGACATTCCTTACTTGCACAAGCTTGCTGGACTGCTGAGCCCTCTGGTCCCCATACAAAGTGTGCAGTCTCGACACAATGGTTCCTCTCGAGGGCAGATTGTAACACTCATCTCCTGATGCAGCACGAATGACTTCTCTCAGTCCATCATCTTCTACTATGCTAACTGGTCGGCAGTTTTTAGCTATCCAAACAACCAAGGAATTGGTTACCTTTTCTCTCACATTTTTTGTTATTCGTCCACAAGCACCATACTCCTGAAGCGTAGACTGGCGAGGTCCCGTAGAGGTGGATTCAGTTGGGTGTTTTGCTCTCAGGTGATACGCCAGTGATAAACTGCTTCTGTGGTACTTGAATTCAGCTTTGCAAATTGTGCATCTTACTCTCGTTTTGTCCAACAAGCCATCAGGCAACTTCTTAAAGAGAAACTTTCCACCCAAAAGTCCGTCCTCGTCCATGCTTGCGTGTGTTAGCTAGTGTTAGCTAGATAGTAGCATGGTGTCACTTCTTCTTCTAATCATTTCTGTCAGGCCAAACGCCAGCATAGCACACTGTTGCCCCCTCCTCCAGAGGTGCTCATGAATTTAAAGGTCTTAGATTACAGGAAATTAATAAAAAAACAAAATCAGCGTTAAATTTTTTTAATGCATTAAACATTTCGCGTTGATCTAAACAATTAACGCGATAATTTTGACAGCACTAATATATATATATATATATATATATATATATATATATATGTATATATAGAGAGAGAGAGAGAGAGAGAGAGAGGTAGATATGGTGTAACAAATGCGTGTTACAAAGTTTATATGGTTTTCCATTGGGTCCTTTCTCGGGCCAGGTACTTTTTTTAGTACCTACTCAGCCAAAGCAATTCAGCAATTCAGTCAATCTGAAAATGTAATGTCAACAGATTGCATTCCACCGATTGGCTAGTCAGTTTTGTCACTCGATGACTCATGAGAGCATGTCATTCACAAAAATCAAATCCTCAAAGCCTGTCTCCAAATCTGACAAAAAGCTATAGACCACACAGCAGGTCTACCATCGCCTCAAGTTTCTCCAGTGTGATGTTGTGCTTTTGTTGTATGCAAAATGGGACTTTTAGTAGTATTGCTGTAATGACCTTGCACACATAGGCAGTACTTGATTGTAATGAAAAACAATTTAACTGAGTTGGGTCGAGCCGAGAAGGTTGTAATGGAAAAGATACATTAGCTCATGTCCTCTTAAAGCACAAACAGTAGATAGTAGCAGCATGCTCCCTTTCGGTTATGTAAATGGTCAAGTTCTTGTTGAGCCGGGCAACACATAATTGTGACTAACATAAGAATTTATTTGTTCCTAGGGGTGGACGACAGTAGGAGCCTGGGATTTCAGGCACCGATAGAGGATGAAGAGTATGAATATTTAGAGCAGGAGGAAGGATACACGACAGAGCTGGATTATGTAACAACATCAAGGTTAAAAGACAAGTGCATAAATGTCTACTATGTACAAAAGTATATGTGTTATCTTTTGTATCCCAGCTCCCGTTTTTCCGTGTTTTCCTTAGGTTCTTGACTCAAACAGTTCCGTCTAAGAGGAGAAAAAAACATGGCAAACGTCGAATCAGCAAATCACAAAATTGCATAGATCTCAAAATCCGCATATTGGAAAACCCAAACATTGAAGTGCTTTCAAATACTGGTAAGTCTAAAGCAAACGTGATGTGAAATTTAAATGTTAAAAACAGAATGAAAACACCTCAGTACACATGAAACTCTGGAGCAGATGTGGAAGATTTCACTGTGATTGATTCAGTGTTCCTCTGTGTTCTAGTGTTTCGGATGTACCGGCTTCACAAGCTGAAGGTTCGTCGTGGTTTGAAGGAAGCTGACTTCCTGAAACTACTCAGGTCTACCTTCCCTCAGCTGGCTGGAGATGAACCTTTTGACCTTTTCTTATATTGCAACCTCAAGAAACTGAAACCTCTGCAAGTAGACTCTGTGACACCAGAGGAAATCATCAGAGTTTCTCGGGGATCTACCCTCTACATACGACTGCAGGTACTGTGCTGAGAAGATTTAACTGATCTCAACAGCGTTACCAAAGATTACAACACATTGACAACTTGATTTGAGAAGAAAATTCCGACCTTCTGTAAAACAGAAAGAAGATGCTGATGAAGATCATGAAGATCTTCCATCCACTGAGACAGACACCCATATAAATCTCAGAATCCGCATCCTGGAAAAGCGAAAGATTAATGTTTTGTCAAAACAAGGTAAGTCTAAAGCAAACATGATGTGAAATTTAGATGTTTCTGCTATAAAAATGCAGCACATGTAAGCCGTATATCACCTTGTTACCTACTAGGTAAGTTCTGAAGTGCTTTTCACCCTTTTACCTGCTCGGAGATCGGTCTATTAAACACAGGTGAAGCTGATGGTCTCCACCACACCTCTATACCAAAAACAGTCATTTGCACCTTGTAAATCACAATTGTTGATGCCAGTAATGCTCGAGAGCAGCTGAAACCCTGGTCAGGACCAATGTTCCCTCTAAGCTGAGTACTGCGTACAGAAAATCTAGGTTGCGCGCAAAAAAAAAATCTAACCTGAATTGAAATTAAAGTAAATATTTTAACAATTCTGTTTTTTGCAGTGTTAGTAAGTGACTGGCTGCTCCCGTATGGGGTTAGACCGATGCCACCTTATCCCATAGTCCAGCCAATAATGCGATTCACATTCGTATATACGCAGCTAATCAACATCGCTAACAGGCTATGACAGCGTCCTTATGTGTCGACACCGGTGTTTTAGCTAGCAAAGTGGCGTGACTGATGTGGCGTGAAGCCACGTTAGTGTATAACCATTGGAGATGTGAGCAGGACAGACAGAACAATTGACGGAATAAGTGTGGACTTTATACCAGTTTTTAAATTGTGTTGATAGGCCACGTAAAACCAGAGTTGTGACAAAAATATCTGCAATGTTTGGTTTTCTTCCTGAATATTATCATTGTTTATATTTACTGCGGGAAGAAATGGTAAAAACTGCGTTTTATAAGGAAAACGCTCGAAAGCACTCTCCACCTGTGAGCAAAGACAAAACCAAAAAGCCCCCACCCTTTCCCATTCGTCGAAAAATGTACCATGTCGACCAATCAAAACATGATATGGCAATATGGCATTTAGTGGTTTAGGAATGGGGGGGCATCAAATTTGATGCAGAACAGCTGACTGTTCCGTAAATAGTTTGAAATGTTTTTTTAAAAAAATGCCTTAGTTGCATTTTTAGGTAAACAGTTGCAAAAAACTTTGTTTGCAAAACTCAGTAACTTTTTTGAAGAAGTAACTATATAATTAACTGCCCGACATCAACTGTATTTTGCAGACAGAGCGTTACAGGACTATCTCCCAGACCAGACTCATACCCATAATACAAGTCAGAGCTTGTATGTAAATGTAAATGCTATAATTTGATTATTTTAATAAACCATGTAACTTGGATGGATTCGATGCTGGCATGACCACAGTGCACACGTCTGATGTCGCTCACAATGGTCCAAGGGATCGCTCAGGGAGTTTGTGTGTTCGCTCAGACACATGAAAATTTAGAGGGAACATTGGTCAGGACACATATACCGTTTGTGCTGCCTCCCTGCACTCTACATGGACATCTTCATCTTTCTGCACTACTCCCTGGTCTAAGAATTGTAACATATTAATAAAGAAATATGTACTATAATACCAAGAATATTTTCATTATAAAACACAATGAAAACACCTCAGTACACATGAAACTCTGGAGCAGATGTGGAAGATTTCACTGTGATGATTGGAACATTAGGAGCCCATGTCACCACTGGTACCTCCAAACTGTGAAAGCAGATTCCAGATTCAATTGGAAAGTAGTATCAGACGAACATTTAGTGAAAGTACAACAGGAAAGTGATGATTTCTTTCTCCTAATACTGGAAAAATTGAACTGATCTCTCAGCGTTCCTCTGTGTTCTAGTGTTTCAGACGTGCCCGCTTCACAAGCTGAAGGTTCATCGTGGTTTGCAGGAAGCTGACTTCCTGAAACTACTCAGGTCTACCTTCCCTCAGCTGGCTGGAGATGAACCTTTTGACCTTTTTTTAAGGGCCAAGCACAACAAACTTAAACCTCTGAAAGGAGACTCTGTGACACCAGAGGAAATCATCAGACTTTCTCGGGGATCTACCCTCTACATACAACAGTCACTGTGTCCAGAAGATTTAAGACTTAAGATCCGCATCCTTGAGGACCCTAAGATTGATAAGATCACAAATATAAGTAAGTTTAAAGCTTTTAACCTTCAAAGATCTTTGGAAGGATTTGATGCCGTTAACGTTTTCTACCTCTTATTAGCTCCTTAACTTGATTTAGAGGCTTTGCATGTCTCAAGAGTCCAACGTACTAGTCATCCAGCTCTCTGTGCAGGTTTGCTGAGTTACCCGTTTATTAGTTGATTCAGGAAAACATGTCTTCTAACTTGTCGATGACTGAAACTGCTCTGACTGTAGTCACACTACCCGCTGTCTTAAAAAACCTCGTAACATTATAAAAGATACCTCACACTCTGGCCACTCCCTGTTTGAACTGTTGCCCTCGGGCCGACGGTACAAAGCAATCAGCGTAAGGACAAACAGACTCAAACACAGCTTTTACCAAATCAGAAAAATATGTCTTGATGCTGCTACTAAAAAATGTCCATCACGCTACTCCTGAAGTGATCTATGCACTGACTGAGGCATGTGTGTGGGGATTGATTTTATTTTACAAATTTTATTTAAAGTTTACATTTGTATGGATGATGCATTGATCAGAGATCAATTCTAATTTCGTTCTACCTGTGACAATGACAAAAAAGACATTCTGATTCTGACTTTGTGAGCTTCTCTGTTTTCTCTCAGTGTGTCAGAATCACCCGTCTCATGAGCTGAATGTTCCTCGTGGTCTTCAGGAGGCTGACTTCCTGGCTCTGCTGAGGTCCACTTTCCCTCAGCTGGCTGCTGGTGAACCTTTTACCATCTTAATTGGTCGCAACCACGATCTAATTCCTCCAAGAGTGGAGAGTATGACTGCAGAAGAGATCTGCAAGAACAGGACTAGGAATCCTGGTATTTACATCCGACTGAAGGTACTGCAAGAACCAATTTAACATCAGGGTGAAAACATTGTTTAAATGTAGAGCATGTTGTTCTGAATAAAAAATCAGATAAAAAAACTATTCTTTTACTTTTTGGTGGAAATTTAGGGTCCAGAGAAAAGGTCTCTACAGAGAGAAGATGCTACCGCTGCTGAACTTCCTCCACCCAGCCTGGATCCAACCACACTGACCACTGAGTGAGTCAAAGAAAAGAGTAAGCTGCTGCTGTTAGAGTTTGTTATTTATGTCAACAGTTCAATCCAATTTTGTTCTTTTCCCCCAGAGTTGAGTCTGAGAAACCTCAGATCAGTCAATCAGACACCCACGTGCATCTCAAGGTCCACATTGTGGAGGACCCTCAGATGGATACCATCTCGCCCAATCGTAAGTTCAAAGCCTTTTAATTTATCTGTCCAGTACAATATTCAGTTATCACCACTGTGATCACATGCTGAGCTGAAATAATAAAGAGTAGCCGAGCATAGCTCCTAGGGTGGTCAGGACACATTTGTGACTATGAGGTCCTTTGTAGAGCTCTGTAGGCATGCTGCTGGATGGTTTGGGAAGCTTGTGATGACCTGAGTTTGGACCAGTTTGTCAAAGCACTTCATGATTACTGGAGCACGAGCCACTACACAGCAGTCATTCAGAATGCTGATGGTGGTCATTTTTTGGTAGTGGTACCGTGATAGAGGATTTCAAGCAAGGCTGTCAGTGGTAAGGCTTAATGTTGGGGACATGGTCTCTTTGACTGACAGGTGGCTGTAGCTGCTTCCTGAACCTCAGCTGGACCTCTGGATTGTGTTTGTGCTCTTGGAGCCTTTTGGACCATTTTAATGCAAATATCTGATAAATATTGTAGTTGCTTTGCAGCTGATAACAGACTGTCTAAGACGTCTGAGCTCTTGTTTTTTGAATGAAATTGTCAGGTTTTGGTGTGATGCTCCCTGTTAGCTGGCAACTTAGCACTCTTTCCTGTTTTATCCCAGTGTTTCAGAATTACCTGCCTCATGAGCTGCAGGTTCCTCGAGGTCTTCAGGAGGCTGACTTCCTAGCTCAGCTGAGGTCAACCTTCCCTCAGCTGGCTGCTGCTGAACCTCTGGAGCTCCTGATATCTAATGACGACAAGATACTAGAGCTTCTAAATATGGAGTCACTGACAACTGAGGAGATCAAAGAGGCTGTCCAGTCAACTGGGAGTGCTACCCTCTTTGTTCGATTGAAGGTACTGTGTCAGATTCAGCATTTCTGCCTTTGTAGATTTTTCTTTTGTCCTTCTTAATCCCTCCACATGGCATTGTCAGAAACCATTAATTACAAAACCCATGCTAAATAAAAACTATAAAACTTTCCAGGCCTCAGAGGATGTTCAGGATGATGTGAATAAGCTTGATGGTGCTGAAGACTCTTCATCCTTTTCTGAACAAACCACACTGCACAGGAGGTAAGTGATTAATAAAAAACGGTAAAATTGGAGAATGAAAACACAGTTTCATAGCATTTATTATGTTGCATTTTGGAAATGGACAGTGACAAATGGACTGATTCCTATATAGCGCTTTTCTTCTCTCCTGGAGTACTCAAAGCGCTGTTTACAACATTCCTCATTCACCCACTCACACAAGGACTTCTAACCTCAAGTACAATCTAACCAACATTCACACTCCAGTTGACGCATCGGAGGGCAACTTGGGGTTAGTATCTTTCCCAAGGATATTTGGCATACAGACTGGGGAAGCAAAGGTTCGAACCACCAACCTTCCAATCAGTAGCTGATCTGCTCTACCACCACAGCCCCATTTTTCCCCACCCTGCCCTGCCCCGAAGATGGTAGTTTGACCCATCTTCAATCTTATGGGTTAGAAACCGTTTTGAAGATGAAGATGAAAGAAGTTACATCTTGGAGAAAGAATGAAGAGGGCTGCATTGGTGTGGCCAAAAAACATATTCTGCAATGTTCTCCCTTGAGACATTGCTGTAGAAAACCGGCTTACCTCTGGTCTCAAAGGTGTTCAGAAACAGTAAAGATCAAAAAACACAATAAGTTTTCTCCTGGTTGCACTCCTACCTGGTGTGCTGTCTTCTGGCTTTAATATTTTGAGCTGTTTGATATTTCCTGTTGTAGGGGTAGACTAGGGCTGCCAAAACTATTATTTTGATAGTCGACTAGCAACCGATTATTTTTGCAATTAGTCGACTAATCAAATCGTGCATCTATTGGATGTATACCGTACAGCTTATTGCATCAGCATGTGTCTGCTCTTATATAACTATCATTAGCTTACAGTAGAGCTGGGCGATATAAGATTTTTTCATATCACGATATGTTTTTTTCATTTCAGGCGATAACGATATCTATCACGATATCAGCCAAATAACTATATTTGTAAGATTTAAATGTGCCGTTGCTCACAAGTAAAATGTGAAATAATCAGCAGCTTGTTTTTATTTAAATATTTATTTCCCATAATAAGTTCATCCATTAAGCGGACGCGAATGGATGGATGAAGTTCAACAGGGTAGATGTCTGACAAAAGCCGAATGACGAATTAGCGCTTCCAGTCAGAGACTGAGGCTACGTCCACACGTACACGGGTATTTTTGAAAACGGAGATTTTCCGTTTTCGTTTTAAAAAATAATCCCGTCCACACATAAAGGCAGAAATGAAGGTAAACGCTGCTATGAACATGCCAAAGCAGCAGGTGGAGCTAGATTCCTAACCGTGCAGAAATGTTGGCCAATCAGAAGTCTAGAAGCCTCGGTGGGAAAAGTAAACAAAGCTGGGGCATAGAAGCAGAACCGAGTCGTATGTGTGGAGGGACAGTAACTGTGTGTATATGTAAGCATTTAAACACTGCAGAGAGTAGAATTAACAGTAACAGTATTGTAGAAATTCATTTCACCGAAACAATAACGTGGCACACAGTGTGACGCATGCACCAGTTTATTGTATTTCCAGACTTGCTTTCGGCACAACTTACAGTGCACGCTACTCTATTTTTTGTCAGACTTGAAATAGCCGAAATACCTTCACACTACAGAACTTCTATGGCTCTTCCGTTCGACAATCTCTCCGGCATTGGAACCATCATCTGTTTTCTCTTCGGTAACCTTCGGTCACGCTTGGTTGATTTTTCTAGTCGGCACACTCATTTCCTCCATTACCCGGGCGGTACGGTCGCTGGCTGCTTCCCAAACAAATACACATGTGCGGCTTGGCACTTGTGCTGTACGTAACAAGTCACGCAACATGACGCTGCGGCTGTGATTGGTTCGGCTCTGCGCTACTTAATTTGGATTGGCTGACCTTTTTTTTTTTTTTTTTAAGAGGACAAGAGCGGCGAGGTCTATCGCGATAGTTTAATTTCTCTATCGAGTAAAAGTTATATCGCGATACATATCGTTATCGTTCTATCGCCCAGCGCTAGCTTACAGCTTGAAGTGTTTAAGGTATGTGCTAACTTAAAATAAAGACAAGATGATAGTTTATTAAACCTTTAATGAAATTTGCAGATTGTCTCAGTGGAGTTTAATAAACTCAGCCGTCTGCTTCTCGCTCCCTAAAATTTAACAGGACATTGGAGTAAATTCTCGACCATCTCACACTTCTGTTTAATCAGTTTTCTATTTGACGTTTATTCAGCTGTGTGAAGACTATAACTTTAATCTCAACCAAACTGATTTACTCAGGAACAAATAAAAAACACTGAAAAAATCCAAACAATGACATTTTTAAGTTATCTAAGTGACTTATATATGTTTAACCTGAGTAGCAAAAGACCGCGGGGGAGTCGAAAATGATGTGCCGGGGGTTGACTGTTCTCGCTGGCTCTAGTGAGTCTTGACCTCCTGGTCAGCTATCGAGCTGGTGCGTAACAGGTGTCTCCGAAAACGTCGGAGCACTTTTGCAAATATGTGATGTCTTGGTAAATTGAGCAGATATTTGAAGCTTACACAGCTACATTCTCGCCTGAAAATATCTTAAAAGTTTGTTACTCTTACACTCTTTCTGGGTTGTCTGTGAAGGTTCTCAGTCATCCAGGTCATCGTAGTCAAAGGAGCTTGTAAAGAAAAGCGTCTGGACTTCTTTAAGTTGCTTGAAGACGTTTCACCTCTCATCCGAGAAGCTTCTTCAGTTCTAAGGTCAAATGGTGGCGAGTCCCAGATTTTCAGGGTTGCAAAATAAACCTTTAAGATATTTTTAGGCGAGAATGTAGTTTTGCGACCCAGAAAGAGTAATATTAAAACTAAGTAGCTGCTGCCGTTGTTGGAAACTGGGCCGCGCTATGAATTCTGGGATAGGTTGGGCCACGAAGGATACACCCGACCCATCAATCAAATCTAGGGAAAAAGAGGGTGGATTTTTTTGGCCATATTTCGAGGAGTCTTCGAATTTGGACACCCTTCGTCGCGTTAAACGACTTACCTACTACTTACTTCTGCGTCTTTCAGAATCTTACAAAACTTCCAACGACGTGTCGACTTTTAAATTACTTGTCGATGATTTTTATAGTCAACATAAGCGTGACTCCTCAGCAGTGGTGATCTGCAACTTAAAGTGATGTACAGAATGAAAAATGAACTATCTGGAAGTTGTTGTTCACTCATATCATATCAAACCTTGAAATACAGGCTTCCTTAAAAAGATTGATTAAATGATTGATTGAAAACTTTGAGCAGCTCCAGTGCTGGATGGCAGATGTTATGTTAGCAGAGTTTTGCTGCTATTGTTTCTTTTCATTGCTATTGAATGCAACCTGATCTTTGCCCAGAGAGTAATGAAACATTATGATTACCGCTCCATTTATCAGGTATGGCATCACTGGCAAGATGTGGCGTCATCACTTCTTTTCCTCTTATACTAGACTATGGGCATATGGATGATAGGTAGCTGTTTAAGATACAAAGGTGTATTATAAGACATGATGGTCTGAACACTGCTGATTAGCATGCTAGCTGGCATGCTAATCAGCAGTGGATGTAAAATGTAGACATGTTTAATATTTCTATTTTTAACATTCTGTTGATATTATTGATTATATTATAAGTTAATTTTTGCGTGTTTTGATCTTAAAGTATGTATTGACAATTGTCAATTGTTTTCAAGCTAATTTGCGAATCTGATTTGAGAAAGGCAGTCAGGTTTGCCAAACTGCACAGCTGCTAATGATAACCTTTATGCAGGAAGCATTAGTTATTCCATTTATTCTTAAATGGAAACAGAGATGCTGGATTGCTAACCCACTATTAAAACTCCTGTTTCTAAACGAGATGCTGAATGTGAACCAAGATTGTTCCAGATTACATTGACTTTTATTCAACACTGACTACCAATTTAGCTACTGAAGAATCATTTCATGGAAATGTGTGTTTAAATGTTCAGTCTATTCTGTCTTGGAGGAAAACATTTTCATGAGTGTCGTGGATCTTTTTTCTCACAGTAATGAAAGGAAACCCTTGGATGAAGACCTGAAGGATATCATCCTCAGAGCTTTGCCATTAATTTCTGAAGACACTCAACAGTCATTGATTCATAAGCTGTTAAGTGATGGAGTGGAGTCTACCCAGGACCTAAAATTTGTCATTGAAGATGATATTGCTGACTTGCTGCCTCCCCTTCAATTACAGACACTCCTGGAAGCATTTAAAAATGGTAATGTTGACGTAAATACACTATTTTTTCTATACAATGTTATAGTAGTATATCTGATAATTTCTAACAGCCTTTTTCTTAAAATATATATTCCCTGAACACTAAATCCGTCAGTACAGCGAAATGGTAAAATTGTACTGAAAGTTTTTAAAACTGTTTTTTACTTCTGTTAACTTATTTTGTCATTCTAACACTGCTGGTTTCCCCACTGAGTGCTACAGCCAAGTGTCTGTGTTTTTTACCAAAACCTTTTAATATGATGCAGCTCTTGATCCATCCATTATGTGATGTTTATCTGGGTTCACATCAGGGGCAGCAGTCTGAACCGGACCTGCATGAATGGGTCTTTAGTAGTGCTTAGACATTTATCTAACAAGCAAACGATCCTTGATTCAATCCCAGAAAGAGACACAAATCCCTTGGGAGCTCCAGGAATAGAATCAGGATGAAAAATCTGCCAAATAAAACATCAACTACCTGTGTGGTGACCCTCTGTGGCTGAGGGAGCTTTTCACAGCGACTGCCAGCGACTTCCAGAGACTACTGGCAACCACCCTGTTGACTGTTAGATAGATGTCTAGGTTTTTCTGACCAAGGCCTTAGAGATATAATGAGTAACTTGGCTATTCAGAGGGGTATCTATCTGGATGGAGGCGCTACTCCGTTAAAAAAAAAAACAGTTAAGGGGGATTCATTATGTCTATGGAGCCTCAGATCCTAGGGAAAATCAGAACCTTCTGGTGAGATTTTTGCTAGTATTTGTATTCTCATGTTCCTGGTTTGGTTGTTGATAAAAGGCTAGTGGGGTATTGTCTTCATTCTGGACACCAAAGTTTGTGAATATGATAACTTGGAAACAGGGTGACATAGGCGCATCTACTAAAAATCCTGGATTAGTTCAATTTCCAGTTAAATTGAACTCACCGTTAGAGGTCAAGTTTTCTGAAAACCTTAAGAATCCATAACTCAAGAACAAGGAGATGTAGGGTTTAGAAAATTATACCATAGGAGGAGGATACTGGGAGGCTCAGGGGTCGGACTGACGGTCGGCAGTATTTAAAAAAATATATATATTATTAACTTATTTTAAGCTCACCCTTGTATAAGAGACAATTGAGCTCACTGTGTGTTTTTTTCCCTTTCCTTTTCAGAGACAGACCTGGTTACTTTGGACCTGCCAGTGATTCCTTCCTCTAGCTCACTGCTCAGCAGTCCTGCAGCGTCACCTTGCTCCACTTCATCTGGTGTACTCCCACTCTCAAATCAAGAACATGACAACTCAGAAAGCTGCGGGCAAACCACCCTTTTCAGAAAACATTGGGCAGAGACGTTCCAGGTGCCCTGGGACCTCATGCCAATGGAAATTCAAGCAGCGGTTGCTGAGGGCAAGAGACCATCCCCTGCAGCAAGGAGACAGATGGTTAGAATTTTAGCAGATGAGATGAGGAAACACGAGCTAAACCCAACACGTGCTCAGTGTGTAACCATCTGCCGAAACATTGTCCGTAAGTACCCTCAGAGCTTTGCTGATCTGTGTGACAACGGTCAGCTGCTGGAAGAGGATTACATCTCGCTTGTGATTCAAATCAAAAACCGAATTGATAACCTGAAACGGACCAGCAACTTTCGCCACAGCCGTTTGTCTGGAATGAAAAGAGGATCCACCAACAATTATGGCTGCGCCAGATTTGAGCCTGGCCTGCTGCCGGAGGAGACAAATGAAACAGTGGAGCGAAAACGCCAGCGACTGGAAGAAATTTACCATCAGGATGGCTCAAGCATGGTAGAAAAAGACGAAGTAAAAGAACTCATGAAAGTAACCTTCTACCTGCAGCGCCGCCAAATAAATGCACTCCCAGTACCGGCTATTAGAGATTTAAGGGGCCGATGGCCTTATCTTTTCACACACAATGGACTTTATACTCATTTCGAGCTGCTCACTGATATCAAAGTGCTTCGCACTCTTGAGGTTGCAATGGAGGAGTGTGGACCAACCATCCTGGAGGTCTTCAGCAAGTCCACTAATCCAGATATCCAATCCATCCTCTCAGTGGGTCCAAAACTTGAACTATCCTTCTGCATCCTGCAACTTCTGATGGCTCACTTCTCCGAACCCCTCGGAGGACTGATTCTTTTTGCAAATGTGAGTTATTTTAGGGTTTTTGATTTCTTCAAAGGTGACACCTGTATCTGTTGTCTCTGTTATTGGGGAAGACAGCAGTTTTATTTGTTTCATGTTTTTGTTAATTAATTTAGTCATAACTCTGTGTCCTAGGCAAATGCCACAGCAGCTGAATTACAGACGACACTCCAACTACCTGCAACTCCTCGACTGATACTCCTCGGTATGACATACATATTTATTTTTTGTTGTTATGATTAGGGATGGGTATCGTTTAGGTTTTATCCGATACCGGTGCCAAATCGGTACTTTTGAAACAGTGCCGGTGCTCAAACGGTGCTCAAACCGGTGCTTAAAGAATGGAGAACACAAAATTGGTCCAAAAACCTCTTATGTTCAGCTGGTTTTTTGTAAAAAGATAACAATGTTAGCCTTTTCTGCAGCTATGGGGCATATATGGTATCACTCTTGGCTGGAAGTAGTGCTTAAACAATGGAAAAAACACAAACTTTGTCCAAAAACCTCTCATGTTCAACTGTTTTCCACTTTTTCTTTGGTCATTTTAGCCTTTTTGGCCAGGGTGAAGGGAGTATCTGCCATCAAACAAGAGGACAGCTGCATGTAGCTATGATGATGTTTGCTAGTTCACCTTACATGCATTAATGTAATAACGTGGTTAGCCTACTCAACGTAAATTACACACGAACAACATTAAACTACTCACGCAGAGAAGAACGGCTGCTGCTGCCATCATCATCCGTCCTCATTTCTGCTACACTGGCAGGGCTAGGGGCCAGGACTCTCCTCTTCGTGTTTTTGGGGGATGTTGCATAACAGGCAACCCACCCGCAGTAGATGCGCTCGGTGTGAGGTCTCGCAGCAAGCTATCAAATACGGCGCATTTCTCGGCTTTTAAAAAAACCGCTATGCGTCGCCTGGTGTTTCATCGGATTTGAGGTGTTATCTCCTTTGACAGCATCACAGTATCAGCTTAAAGCACTTGTTGCAGGCTGCTGAGTTTGCATATTTTGCTGTGAAGTACAGCCAGACTTTTGACCGCTTCGCCTTGGACATTTTTAATCTGTAGCTCTGCTCTAACTGAACGTACGTACCTGGGCCCGCCTACTATCCTCGGAAACGTAAAATGATTGGCTAGAAGTGTATCACAGCTCAGGAAAAAAAAAGCACCGAAATAAAGCACCGAAATGTGCGCTGCTTTTCGGTCTGGTTACTACAGTTTATGTCAGAACCGGACACCGGTGCACATCCCTAGTTATGATTGCAAAAGCCAACAGCGTTAAGCATTAAGTGCTTCTTGAGAAGAAAAATAGCCTCACTATAATTTCATAACTCATGACTTATAATGTCATAACAAAGATTTATCTTATTACCCAAGAATCCTGTTACAACAGTGAACGTTCACCCGTTGCCAAATGCTAAAAGTCACAAGAAATTTAGTTCAACTTAAACCGAGATGAGTTAATGAGCCTTCAGTCGACCTAGAGGAGGTCAAATTTTAATTACCGGTTGCCTTTCCCCCCCCCATATTTTTCACCCTGTTTCACTGTTGGCTTCTTTCACTTGCCTTGTCTCTTTTGCACATTTTCCATGCAAACTGCAGTAATCGTCATCCAGTTAGGAAGTCACCAACAGGTCTCCAGAGACTGAAGCTTAAAACAAAAGGCAGAGTCATGCTGACGTTTTTTGGCACCTTCACAGATTGCAGGTTGTTCCTGATCTTGAATTAGAAAATGTTACCCTCACCTGTTTGTCTGCTGTAAAGCATAAATGTGGCACAACTCACATTCAATATGATGATCACTGGAAGACACCAGCTCATAATTTTCTCCATAGCTCCTCTGATATTGGAGGACTCTGTCTGGGCAGTAGAAGTTTTAGCACCTTCAAGTGGTGAAGATTCTCCATTTCCATTTTCTATTTTATTATGATGAAAAAAACACAGGAGACTTTGTATAACTTGCAAATCAAAAAATTGTCAAAGTCAATAAATTAGAAGAAAATCATGTCTTAAAAAACAGCTTCTGCAACAAGCTACTCTTCAGCACCCCAAAGAAAACAAACACAACACAAAAACAAAGCTTATCTAGCTTGCTTTTGCAAGTTGTATGCCCAAAGTTCCCTGTAAATATATGTTCAGTCAACATGAACAATGTTTTATATATTGCCGAGTCATATACACTACACAATCATCGGCATATTAAAATTTTATTTTATGGGCGCGACTCCGGAAGCTGAAGTCACGCTGTGTGACTGGAAAATCTACAGCTTTATTTTCATGCCTAACTGCGAAATTCTGGTCAGATACAGATGTTAAATGTTCTTGACAGGGTATGAGTGATGTACTTGATGGTTCTGTGTGTTTATTAACACATTTGCACTGAAGAAGTATATTGAATAAATAAGCTCATTACCATTTCAGTACTAATGGTGGGATTTTATTTGGATTTTAAGCCGAATCACCGGAAAGCTCCATTCGCCGCTGGATGATCAGTCTTGAGGGGCACATCATTTGCGAGGGCATCCAGCCGACTTTTCTGTCCGGCCTCGCTGCTGTCTTTTCTACTTACTACATCTTCAATCTTCAGTATCAAGACGATGCTGCATGCACACTGGAATTCATTCAAAGGTTAGATGAGTACATTTTCCAGCTGTTAATTTGTGATGTGAGGTCTTTGTGCTAAAAGGCTTGCAAGAACCCGTTCCTGTGTCACTTTGGATCTGACCACACATTTGTTTTTTCCAGGCGATTGATTGGGATAAATCCCGACACAGGCACCAAAGTTCCACAAGGCAAATTCCCGTCAAAGGAGACTGGGAAGTTCACACAGGAAAAGACTTCGCCAGTCAACCCCCAAGTTTTAAAACTGTTAAAGAAACTAATGGATGTGAACCCAGCTGTTTACACCCACACAACCATGTTTCCATCACTTCAGGGGACATCAAACTGACATTCATGTTTGTTTTCGTGGAGAAATCCGAATTTCTGGGGTCTGAAGAACCTCTTGGAGCAACGGCCGACACTTTGGAGCTTGCAGTGTAGTGGCTGGATATCCAGACCAGAACTTTGGGTCCCATGCACTGGTCATAGTCTACATTGTCGGTTTTAAAGAGGTATGATGTCATCAGATTGTTTTGAGAGTGCACTTTGACTAGTGCATTTGTCTTTCATTCTTCATTCGGACTTGCTGCATGCACCAAGTACCAGAAAAGTTTCTGGTGCCACAGATTCTGCAGACTGTTTATACAGATCACCCTTTGCCTTGCTTAAGACTTTGAAATGTGCAAATTCAAAGTGTGAAAGAAACAAGGAACAAATACAACTTTATGCTGTTTTCTTTGTTCGGGTTGACTTATGTTCCCCAATGCAAGCTGCTGTTTTCTAGCAGAAACTCTGAAGTACTATATTTTGTTTACTGTACACCTTTTTTTAAATTACTGTAATTAAAGTTACATTTCTGGGGTAAGATTTGGGCATTGTTTTACATTTCCTGTTTATCTTAGTTCATTGTTTACACACTGACTGCATAAAGGGCCATCTGCAGTACTATGTTTATTTACTATGCAGTACTATGTTTAGTACTATGTTTATTCAGTATGCCACAAAGTTCAAATCCTCTCAGAAGGGTTTGTACAACACGACAGTGATGCAAGCATGCCAAGTCAGCCAGTGGATTCAAACTGAGGATCTTAGTGGAATGAAAAAAAAAGTATATATATACAGGGAGTGCAGAATTATTAGGCAAATGAGTATTTTGTCCACATCATCCTCTTCATGCATGTTGTCTTACTCCAAGCTGTATAGGCTCGAAAGCCTACTACCAATTAAGCATATTAGGTGATGTGCATCTCTGTAATGAGAAGGGGTGTGGTCTAATGACATCAACACCCTATATCAGGTGTGCGTAATTATTAGGCAACTTCCTTTCCTTTGGCAAAATGGGTCAAAAGAAGGACTTGACAGGCTCAGAAAAGTCAAAAATAGTGAGATATCTTGCAGAGGGATGCAGCAGTCTCAAAATTAGTGATGGGCAGATGAAGCTTCATGAAGCACTGAAGCTTTTCATCAATTGGTTCACCCAAGCGCAAAGCTTCATGAAGCTTCATTTGCTCTAGCAGGACACCTACTGGACGTAAAAATATTAGTTGGCATGAATTTGAAGAGTGTGGCCTTTTGCACACAGCCTGTAAATGTCAACAACTAAAGGAGTGTGTAAAACATCTATATTGTAGTGATGCAGTACACTGTGTATATTTATACTGGCAGTATGGAAAATGATCATTTGGAAATGCTTAAAATGGAAATGATCATTTACTGTGAGGTGAGGTGTGGTTGGGGTGTGGACAGTGGTTGTCCTTTTGTAACGTTGAGGTATGGACAGCTACACACTGAGGCTTTGAGCCTCAGTCCTGCCTGTTCACATTTTATTCTGTAAAAACTACATTTTCACTGCTTTTATGACCTTTTTAGTGGGGAGAACATAGCTAGGATTAATGATTTAACAAATCTTTTGAATCCTTTGTCCTCCACAATGCTAAATGGCTGGGAGTCCTCAATCACCATGCTAACCAGGTCTTCATCTATTTGAGATTGTTCTCCTGAGGAAAGACAATAAAGACAAAGCACAAATATAAATATCACACACGTAACTTATTACAGCTGTATAATATTGTTATATCATTTAGTAACATTACTGCATGCTATATTATCATGACATTTGATGGCTCACCTGGTCTTGCTCCACAATCGGTGTTCCCCTTATTCTCATGCAAAGCTCTGTAGTGCCTAAGCATGGATGAGGTGTTGTTGTTATATCCCAGCTCCCTGGCACATAGCAAACACTTCACCTTGTACAAAAGTAAAGACAGCTTAACATAAATTATATTGCACCATCAGTATTATGAAAATACATCTTCTGTAGAAATTTACATACCTTGTTGGGAGGAATAAAATCAAAATGTTCCCACACAGGGGAGGACATCCTCTTCTTCTTAGCTGGCTCCATTCTCTCCTGACTTTCTCTCCTCACTCTCATAAACCTCCAAACTGTCTCCAAACTCTCACTAACCACAACTCTCCATCAAACACCCACATTTTGAATGAAGTCTGAGGGGTTTATATTTCTGTCATAGCTCGCGGCAAAGTTCGAACCACTTCATGAACCAGTCACGTGGTACAGCCGGGCAGCGAGGCTTCGGACGTCATCATTTTCAGCCCCTCCCATAAATGAAGCATCGCGGATACGCGCATCGCGGAAACGCCCCCTCAATTACTCGACACAAGCTTCGAAGCCTCGATACAGAACGTCACATCACTACTCAAAATTGCAAAGCTTCTGCAGCGTGATCATCGAACAATCAAGCGTTTCATTCAAAATAGTCAACAGGGTCGCAAGAAGCGTGTGGAAAAACCAAGGCGCAAAATAACTGCCCATGAACTGAGAAAAGTCAAGCGTGCAGCTGCCAAGATGCCACTTGCCACCAGTTTGGCCATATTTCAGAGCTGCAACATCACTGGAGTGCCCAAAAGCACAAGGTGTGCAATACTCAGAGACATGGCCAAGGTAAGAAAGGCTGAAAGACGACCACCACTGAACAAGACACACAAGCTGAAACGTCAAGACTGGGCCAAGAAATATCTCAATACTGGTTTTTCTAAGGTTTTATGGACTGATGAAATGAGAGTGAGTCTTGATGGGCCCGTGGCTGGATTGGTAAAGGGCAGAGAGCTCCAGTCCGACTCAGACGCCAGCAAGGTGGAGGTGGAGTACTGGTTTGGGCTGGTATCATCAAAGATGAGCTTGTGGGGCCTTTTCGGGTTGAGGATGGAGTCAAGCTCAACTCCCAGTCCTACTGCCAGTTTCTGGAAGACACCTTCAAGCAGTGGTACAGGAAGAAGTCTGCATCCTTCAAGAAAAACATGATTTCCATGCAGGACAATGCTCCATCACAAGCGTCCAAGTACTCCACAGCGTGGCTGGCAAGAAAGGGTATAAAAGAAGAAAAACTAATGACATGGCCACCTCGTTCACCTGATCTGAACCCCATTGAGAACCTGTGGTCCATCATCAAATGTGAGATTTACAAGGAGGGAAAACAGTACACCTCTCTGAACAGTGTCTGGGAGGCTGTGGTTGCTGCTGCACGCAATGTTGATGGTGAACAGATCAAAACACTGACAGAATCCATGGATGGCAGGCTTTTGAGTGTCCTTGCAAAGAAAGGTGGCTATATTGGTCGCTGATTTGTTTTTCTTTTGTTTTTGAATGTCAGAAATGTATATTTGTGAATGTGGAGATGTTATATTGGTTTCACTGGTAAAAATAAATAATTGAAATGGGTATATATTTGTTTTTTTGTTAAGTTGCCTAATAATTCTGCACAGTAATAGTCACCTGCACACACAGATATCCCCCTAAAATAGCTAAAACTAAAAACAAACTAAAAACGACTTCCAAAAACATTCAGCTTTGATATTAATGAGTTTTTTGGGTTCATTGAGAACATGGTTGTTGTTCAATAATAAAATTATTCCTCAAAAATACAACTTGCCTAATAATTCTGCACTCCCTGTATCTATCTATCTATCTATCTATCTATCTATCTATCTATCTATCTATCTATCTATCTATCTATCTATCTATAGATAGATAGATAGATAGATAGATACTGTCATGCTCCAGACGGGTTGTTGTTTTTTTTTATAGTAAATGTGTGTATACAGTGTTTTAGTCTGCTTTCTTTATAACGTTTCTCCCCGGACACATTTTGCGACAGCACAATAAGAACACCGTCCGGTCAGTGTCGTTCGCCTCTGAGACGGACCCGTGAAAACACACACATGTTTTATCTCGAGAAGAGCGGCAACTCGGAGTCCCCCGACAGCGTCGCTAACATGTCCAAGAGCGACATACTGAGAGGAATCATCACTGAGAAACTGAGCACAGCCGCCCGGGAGATCTTAGCAGTGGTGGAGAGGACTGTAGCCGACTACGAGGAGGAGGCTGCGGGCTTCAGGCAGGAGATCGACCGGCAGAGGAGACTGCTGGAGCTCCTGCAGCCTCGGGTCAAGCTTGAGAGGACAGGTCAGTGACAGAGGCGGATTTGCCGAACTTCATTTAAAAATGACTCATTTAATATTTCCTCGCTAGCTGGTGAATATAGTGACTTCACAGTGCAAGAAGAAAATGTCCGCACAATTGTTTAGAAATGGATTAACAAGTCGGCATGCGTTTAGTCAGCTTTCACAGGATAATGTGAGACAATCACCGCTTTTGGGGTTCCTTTAACTTTATGGGCAGCCCACCCCCTGAAGCTAATGAAAAATTAATTCTACTAAAACTCAAACTTTTCACTTGTGTTTCTTAAATTTTGACTTAATAACTTGCAGCTTTCCCTTCCCCACTGTCACCAAAGTGCGTGTGATGTGGTTTCTATGTATTATTGTAGGGTCTTTTTCATATATTAAAAAGCGCCTTGAGGCAAATGTTGTAATTTGACACTGAATAAATGAAATTGAATTGAATATAACTGAAATTTCTAGTTATTCAGAAGTAAGTTGCATTTTCAAGTCGGCTTGTCAACATTTTTAATTAACCCAAAACTTGAGTTGATTATAAACATTTTTGACTTAATGACTCATAATTTACAGTTTTTCAGGAGTTAGTCGCAATTTTGAGATACTGATTTGAAATTTGGACTTGGCTCTGATCAGCAATTTTTATTTTTCAATGTTGGAAATGAGCTTACATATAAAACATAAAGGTGAAGTTTTCACAGTTCACATGAAGCCTGCTCTATCAGTTTTAAGAATTTAGGATGTCAGATTTTCCACAGTCTGCAGTTATTTGAGTGATAAACAGGACTAAATCCCAACTTTAAAGCTGCTCTTTAAAAATACATGTTGCTTTCAGCTGTTCATAGCAATATTGTGTTTGGCCATACATGAAGTAACTGATCAGATCTGACTGACAAAAGTAATCTCTTGTCACAGATCTGGACATCCATGAGGTGGTGGTCATGACCGGAGACAAAGAGGATCAGCAGCACACACATCTGCCGGGTTTGTTTTCTGTCAAAGCTTGTTTTCTTAAATGTTGAGAAAAAGGAGGAATGAGTGAATGAACGACTCTAAGGACAATACGTTTTTGCTGCAACACTAAAGATGATGTTCAGACTTACATATGGTAGTAAATAGTAAAATAGGGTGTGTAATGTTTCCAGGTATGGAGGGTCCTGGAAGTCCAAGTCTGCTACGTCGTGATGAAGATGAAGATGAGCAGCGGATGGCCCAAATGTCGATGAGTTCCAGGCAGAAAAGAGAAAATCTGATGCACCCGGATTATGAAATACCAAGGTTACAAATGCAATCAGAATCAGAATACTTTATTGATCCCTGGGGGAAATTATTTCAACAGTTTATGTCAACAGTCTGGATGTTACAGTTAGTTTACATTGTGACGCTTTGTGTTTTAACAAAAAACTTTGCATTTGCACC